TAAACTCACACAAAAATATGCACATATACAAAAATAAAAACAAATCTTTAAAAATAATACTTTTAAAACAAATAATCTACATTTGGGAGCTAATGCTTATTGAAACCTAATTCCGATCACTAGATAAACATATTCAATATTGGATAACAGCAGGGTACCAAAGAAGTTGCAAGATGTTGAGTTTAAGTAGGTCAACCAGTGTTCTAGCTTGGTTTTGGTTGCTGTGACAAACACCATGACCAAAAGCAACTAAGGGAAATCATAGCGGAAATCTCAAGGCAGGAACTGAAGCAGAAACCACAGAGGAACACTGGTTACTGGCTTGCTCCCCCAGGCTCAGTCAGCTATTTCTCTTATACAGCCAAGGTCATACTTGCCTAGGATTAGTACTGCCCACAGTGGGCTGGGCCCGCCCACATCAATCAGCAATAAAGAATATGCCCCACAGACCAGTCTGAGGGAGGCGATTCCTCAGCTGAGGTTCTCACCTCCCGGGTAGTTTGTGTCAAGTTGACAAGAACTAACCAGCATTCCCAGGATCAGAAATAAGTAAAATGCTCTAAAAGAACTCATTGGATAGGCTGGAGAGATGAGTTAGCCATTTAAGGGTAGGCTCACAACCAAAGGACGAGAGCTCATCAGAGTACTTCAAATAATGTGGGCTTGCCATGGTCGGTAGAAAACTACTATAACAGACTATTAACTATTAACTATGAACAGTAGTCAGAAGAAAGGCTGTGTGTGTGTGTGTGTGTGTGTGTGTGTGTGTGTGTGTGTGTGTGTGTGTGTGTGTCTGTAGGTTTCCAGTGTCTTTTCCAAGCACTACCCACCTTGGTGAAATTTTTGTCTTGTTGGAGTTTTGTTTGGGGTTTTGGTTTTGTTTTGTTTGGGGGGGGGTTGTTGGGGAAAAGGGTGGTTTGGTTTGGTCTTTTTGTTTTGGTGACAGGGCGTCCCTATGTAGCACTGGCTCATCTGGGCTATGTAGAAGAGGCTATGCGGTGGTATTTGTAATCTAAGAAATAAAGCTTGCCTGAAGATCAGAGAACAGAGCCAGCCACAGAGTTAAAAAACATAGGGATCAGGCAGTGATGGCACATACCTTTAATCCTAGCACTTGGGAGGCAGAGATCCATCTGGATCTCTGTGAGTTCAAGGCCACACTGGGCTACATGGGATTGATCCAGTCTAGGAGAGAAACAGAGCCAGGCAATGGTGGCACACACCTTTAATCTTAGTATTTGGGAAGCATACATGCCATTAATCCCAGCACTAGGAAGGCTGAGATAGGAAGTGAAATGACTGGGTGGAGAAAGGCACATAAAATGTGAAGAGACAGGAATTAAGCTCTTTTGGCTGAGGACTCAGAGGCAGTCAGTCTGAGGATTTGTGGAGACAGGATCGGCTGAGGAGTTGGCAAGGTGAGAAGTGGCTGTGGCTTGTTCCTTTGTCTCTCTGATCTTTCAGCATTTACCCCAATATCTGGCCCAGGTTTTGTTTTGTTTTGTGGGTTTTTTGTTTGTTTGTTTTGCTTTGTTTTGTTTTGTTTTTCAAGTCAGGGGTTCTCTGTGTAGTTTTGGTGCCTGTCCTGGAACTCACTCTGTAGACCAGGCTGGCCTCGAACTCACAGAGATCCGCCTGGCTCTCTGAGTGCTGGGATTAAAGGCGTGTACCACCACCGCCAGGCTGGCTCCAGGTTTTTATTAAGACCATTTAGGATTTGTGCAATAAGACCAACCTGGAACTCACAGAGATCTGCCTGCCTCTGCCTCCCTGGTGCTGGAATTAAAGGCTTGTGCTGCCATGTCTGGCTCCACCTTGGTTTTGGTGCAGGGTTTCACATTGGCTTGGAGTTTGCCAAGTAGATTAAGCTGGCTGGCCAGTGAGTCCCAGCGACATGCCTGTCTCTGCTGGCTCAGCCCAGGGATTGCAGTTGTGTGCTGCTACTCGTGGCTTTTTCCCATGAGTTCTAGGGACTGAACTCAGGTCCTCGTGCTTGTAAGGCAAGCGCTTACTGACTGAGCTAGTTCTCCAGCCCCTAGATGTTCTTTCCTATGGGGCAGCTTTGGAAAAAATAGATTCTAAGGTCAAAATCCACCTCCTCTGTGGTTTAAAAAACTCCTTTGAACAAGTCAAGACTCGAGTTGACACACCCTATGTGACAGAAGAGCTCAGGGTATAAAATAACCACAAATTCAACATTACCCGTGTTGTGTGGTTGCTATAGAATGCAAACACAGCTTTAGATTGTTTTTTAACACAGCTTTGGACTGTTTAATAAAAGTTTCCAAATAATTAATCATCGGTGATGGTTCATCTTCATGTCAACATGACAGGTTTTAAAGTGACCCAGCCATGGAAATGAGCCTCTGGGACTGTCTGTGAGGGAGTTTCTTCATTAGGCTCATTGAGGCCAGAAGACCACCCTAAATGTGGGTTGCGGGATTCTGTGGCATGGGGCCCCAGACTGAATGAAAAGAAGCAAGGGAGCCGAGCAGCAGCCTGCCTCTCTCCATTTCCTCACTGCAGGCACAATGTGACCGGTCACCTCAAGTGCCTCTTGCCATACCTTCCTCACTAGAATGGACTGCACACTGAACTGTGAGCCTGAAGAACCCCTCTCTTTTTGGAGATGGGGTACCTGGCTGTCCTGGGTCTCACTATGTAGACCAGGCTGGCTTGGTCTTCGACTCACGAATACCCACCTGTCTCCATCTCCCGAGTGCTGGGACTGAAGGCATGCGACACCATGCCTAGCAACCCTTCTGTTAAGTTGCTTCATCTGTCATTTTGTCAGAGCAACAAGAAAAATGACTAATGCGTAGTCCCACAGCATTCTAAATTATCACAATAAATCTACAGTGCGTTCAGCTTATAGGGTCAAGTTTTAAGAGTAACATCTCTTACCCATCCCTTTCTTTCCATTCCCACCAACAGACTCTCTCGTCTTCTACCTGATATGGCAGACCATTTCCAAGGATGGCCAGAGCTGAGGGTGCACCTCAGTGGTAGAGCTTGTCTAGCATTTGCAAAGCCATGGGTCTGATCTCCAGTATGGGGGTGGGGGGTGGGGGAGTGGTATCAAACATGACCCAACAACCCCTCCCATAGGGCATACCGTTTGCAGGGTCGCTCCTTCACCGAGAGATAGAGCTTGTTTTCCTCCTAGTGGATCCAGACTGATCATGTGTCTTAAACTGACCACCAAGAAACAAAGGAATTGACTTATAGATCTAGGCTTGAAGGGGCCTCTCAGCTTCTATTTTTCACGGTCTTGCTTGACAGCTACCAATTCAAGCTAGGATAGGCCACTGATTGGTGAGTGACCCCTGTATGAAGAGAAAGGTTTTGTGGGGGAGAATTGAGAGGCCAGGAAAATAGTAAGACCAAGCCTTAGACCCACGGGTAAAGTTGTCCTCCAGCTCTAGCCATGTCAATAATGACAACATTCTGTGTCCACGTGACTCTCTTACCACACAGGTCTTTGGGATGTGACTAGAATATCTGAAGAATTTCATTTGATTTAAGCTGAACTTAATAGCTAGAGACTGTTGTGTAGGTCAGCACAGACATCTATTCCCACTCTAATTCATCTAACACAACCCCACTAAAAGAACGGGGGCGGCTGAAAATTGCCTCGGCACCTGTCCTTCATGGTACTACAGGTATGTAGGCAACGTCTAGAGATGGTTTCACATCTAACTTAGAGGAGTCCAAACACAAAGTTAACTTTTGGAGTTTTCCTTGTCTGATGAAAGGCGAGATTTTAATAGTTCCTTGATTTGTTCTGAGGACGTGGCAAAAAAGCAGATGTTAAACCTCCTGTTTGTGTCTGTATCTACACCCATCACTTAAATCCATATTTATTTCCCTCTTCTCTGAAGTTGAAGTTTTACATTACCTGTAACAGGTAGCACAAACTGTAGTTTTCAGTTACACTGATTTTCTTTTTTCTCTTATGAGCCAAGGTGTCATGTAGTCCAGGCTTGCCTCGAACTCACTATCTAGTTTGTAAAATACTGTATTCTAGATCCTTCTGCATCCAGCTCTCAAGGCAGGCATGTAATGTCAAAACATGTCCGGTTTGGGTGGTATGGCGATCCACCTCTACGGCTTCGTGCATGCTAGGCAAGTGCGCAGCCTAGTCGTTTTTTTTTTCTTTTTCTTTCTTTCTTTCTTTTTTTTTTTTCGAAACAGACCATAATCTCTTTGAGTACAGGAATCCTATGTGTTTCTGGAATTGTTATGTTCCAAAAATCCCTCTATTTTCCTCAGAGGCCTGAGTACGAATTCCAGGAGTGGATAATGATCTAAACTCAAAAGACTTTATCAAATTTAACCCCAAACTAGTATTTTACTCTTCGCTGAATCTACCGGGCACAATGCAGAATGGCCAAGGCATGAAGCCAGACCTAAGACGCGCCATGCAACGCGGAGCTACCGCATCCCTCTCTACAGGCCCTTCCTACTAGTTGCTCTTTGGGCGTGGCCTAGTTAGCGTGGTCGATTGGGCGTGGCGTGCGTAGGGAAGGGCGTGGCTGAGAAGAGGCACTTCCGATTGGGTCCAACCCAACGATTTCCGGTAGCACTCGACAATTTCCGGCTTCAGGCTCCGCCCCCGCCGACTCCCCTCGGGTGTTTCCGACATCTCTCGGGCTTTTCCGTCTCGCTGTCGTTTGGCTCTCTCCACTTCGGATATTTCCGTGTCGCGCTCGGAGGAGCTCGGCCACCACTCGGCCTCCCCCATCCCCCGGTAACGGTCGCTGGTGAGTTTAAATGAGCCGGGGCTGGCCGGGCCGGAGCCGCTACGGGGGGGGCCTGAGGCACTGCAGAAAGTGGGCCTGAGCCTCAAGGATGACGGTGCTGCAGGAACCTGTCCAGGTAATGCTAGCGCCTGCTCCGAGGCCTGGCGCCATGCCTGGGTCGCAAGCAGCGAGCAGCCACTTCGCGGCCTGCTGCGGCCTAGGCCCCGCTTCTCCCGCCTCCCTTTCGGCGAGCCTTACCTGTCTTTCGTCAGTCCCGAGGCCTTCCCACTCGGCCGAGCTTAGCCCGGGCCCCGCATTACTTCTCGCCTCTTGTGCGAGCTGGCTTCAGCGGGAATCACTCGTTTCCCGTCGGTACTGGCTTCCGGCCATATCTCCTCCTGTTAGTCGGGGGCCCTGCCGGCGGTGGGAAACGAGGGGCCGAGATGGCGCCCCGAGTGCTCGGCGCCCCGGGGCCCGACACAGAAGCGCTTTTGAACCGAGCTGGTGGGATTTCACCCCGATGGGGCAAGTTTCCTGGTGTTTCCTTGGTTTTGTTTTACGTGAGATAGTCGAAGGAAGAAGGTAAAATTATCCGTGGTTTTGATAGTTTTTGTTTCGGTAGCAGAGTTTCTGGTCCACCTACCTTACCGTTCTCGCTCAGTGGATTTCCCACCGGACAATGACGATCTGAGAAGGGAACTCCCAGGGCCAGTGCTGCGGTGCAAACACCCGAGCAGGGGAGTGGGCGAAAGGGCAGGTCTGGATTTTGCCATTACCTGGCATGGGTACCAAGAGGCATTTTATCGTGCAGATTTAGAAGGTGTTTAGGAAATTAGAGATAATTGCTTTCCCATCCATTTCACTATTCGTCCATTCCTTAACCACACCAAGGTATGCGTTGACGCACACGGTGCTGCTGTCAGAAGAAACCCTATTGGGGTTTAAGTGTGTGATGCAGTGCCAAGTCATTTTTTTCTCCCTGCCAGATCTGAAGAAACTGAACCTTTTGTCCCTTGGTGATGGACTGGGTTTGGGAGATTTTTCATTCCACCGTATGATCTTTGACATGTCCAGAGTTGGCCTCCATTAAATTACTGCCGTTAAGCCATAAACTTTATTTTGAAGTTATAAAGCAAACCGATTTTAGAAATTGCTGCGAATTGCCTTAGGTAAGACTGTGGCGACAAATAGTAAATATTTTAATGCGTCAGTACAGCATTTCCTTAATTTCTCATCGCAGTGTAAAAATTGCTTTCTCTAGTTAGCCTCATCTCCAGCTGTTTACATGGTGACAGCTATTAGTATTTGAATTAATATAATTCTGGATTATATCTTCAGAACTGTATGTGTCTCTGTACGTTGTATCAGTTCTTCCAAAGCTGCATTTCTTTCCAAATTTCCTAGTGTAGAGTCCCTTGTAAGGCCCTTTTCAGGCCTAACATGAAATTAAATGGATAAGGAGGTTATTCACATGATTATTTTTTTATTTCATGCTGTAGTTTTGTCTTACTGATTCTTTTGCTTTTCTGGACCCAAAAGCCTTCTAAAGAAAGTGATATGATAGTTGCAGTGATAGCATGTAAACCACTACTTAATAATTTTGACTTATATAAAAGCATGAGAGAGTAGAATATATTTGTGGGAGATAGAATCCAGCAGGTTTCTTCTTTGTTTTTAAAGTATTGTTAGCAATAATACTCTTACTATATCTAAGACTAAAAAGTGAAATTTGCCTCCCTTGCCTCCATAATAACTTTGTCCATTAGATTTAAGGATAATGGTAAGAAGTTTTAGGGTGTGAGGGGGTGAGAATTTGGGTTATAATTTATAGGAGACAAGAGGATCAGGAGTTCAAGGTCATCCTCAGCTACGGAGCAAGTTCAAGGCCAGCATGAGCTACCTGACCCTGTCTCAAAAAACAAAAAAACCCAAAATAACAGCAAAAGGAGCAATTAAAAGGGGGAATCTCAAACGGTGGGAGAAGTAAGCTATGACCAGGAGGAATGCTGTTGAAAAATGAAAAAGAGCTGGAATGAAAGGAAGATAGTAAGATACTTTTTTTTTTTAATGGTTTTTCGAGACAGGGTTTCTCTGTGTGGCTTTGGAGCCTATCCTAGAACTCACTCTGTAGACCAGACTGATCTCCAACTCACAGATCTGCCTGGCTCTGCCTCCCAAGTCCTGGGATTAAAGGCGTGCGCCACCACACCTGGCAAGATACTTTTTAAAAAATTACTCATTCCATGTATTAGGATAAAAATAGTGTTGAAAATATTTTCTTTGCTTTGTTCCTGGTAATCTAGACACAAGGAAGAGTTGACAGAAATAGTACTCAACTGTTTGTTCCGATCTTTTCCCCCCTTTTCAAGTTTTTACATGGACTACCCAGTGGAATGTGCCATCTAGACTTAAATATAAGCCCTTCCCCAAGTTAGTGCTCATAGAAAAAGTATTACTTTGTATTTGAGTCTTTACAAAAAATCTTTCATATTTCAAAGCAAACAAATAATTTGTAGCGGGGTCTCCCTGTGTAGCCCTGGCTGGAATTAAAGGCATTCACCACAGGACTAATTTGGATGCCTGTAAAAGTTCACTTGATAAAATTGGTGGCCTTTTTTGTTGGCGGGTGTTTTATTTGACATTCACTTACTGTGTGTGCATGTATGTGTCATTCAGTCTTGGTGGCAAGCATCTTTACCTTCTGAGCCGTTTCACCAGCTCTGTTGTTGTTGCTTTAAGAGGGAGGCATTTTATATAGATGCATCAATTGATAAAGCTTTATCAATTATTTCTGCACGTTAAGTTTCACAGAAGTATTGGATGAAATTGTAGACAAGCCTTTTGAAAATGATTTTAATATGCAGTAGAGTAACTGGATGCAAAAACCTTGTGTGTTAACCTGCATCTGAAACTCTGACTAGAGGCAGGAAGAAAAGAAGTTCAAGGTCAGTCTGAGCTACATAAGACCCTGTTTCAAACACCAAAACAAAATAAAGTAATTTGGTACTATCTGTATACCTGTGTCTTAAGGAGTGTTTTACTGCATCTCTGTTTGTTTACCAGATGCCTACTCCATTTTGAGGCCCAAAATGCCCCCCACCAGACATGGCCAAATGTGGGGTCAGAGAACCATCTAGATAAAGAACCATCATAGAGAGCTGGTTATGGACAGTGTGCCTGTAATCCCAGCACTTGGGAGGTAGAGGCAAAAGCTCAAGAGTTCAAGGCCTACCTCATCTGTGTTTTAAGTTTGAGACCAGCCTGGGCAAAATGAGACCCTGTCTCAAAAATAGAAATATAAAAACAACCAATCAGATAAGTAAAAACTAGAGTTATAGGGCCGCGGCAGCCATCTTCCAGTAACTCGCCAAAATGACGAACACAAAGGGAAAGAGGAGGGGGACCCGCTATATGTTCTCCAGGCCTTTTAGGAAACATGGAGTTGTTCCTTTGGCTACTTACATGCGAATCTACAAGAAAGGTGATATTGTAGACATCAAGGGAATGGGCACTGTTCAAAAAGGAATGCCTCATAAGTGTTACCATGGCAAAACCGGAAGAGTCTACAATGTCACCCAGCATGCCGTGGGCATCATTGTAAACAAGCAAGTTAAGGGCAAGATCCTTGCCAAGAGAATCAACGTGCGGATTGAGCACATCAAGCACTCTAAGAGCCGAGACAGCTTCCTGAAGCGGGTGAAGGAGAACGACCAGAAGAAAAAGGAAGCCAAGGAGAAGGGCACCTGGGTGCAGCTGAAGCGCCAGCCCGCCCCACCCAGAGAAGCACACTTTGTGAGGACTAACGGGAAGGAGCCTGAGCTACTGGAGCCCATTCCATACGAATTCATGGCCTAATGTACAAAAAGAAATAAAAGACCTGGACTGTAAAGGAAAAAAAAAAAAAAAAAAAAAAAAAAAAAAAAAAAAAAAAACTAGAGTTATAGAAATAGAAATTTTAGATTCTAATGTATAAGATAAATTCTACACTGGCAATTTTGGTTAGGGTTCTTTCCTTTTTTCCTCCATCTCTCCCTCCTTCCCTTTCTCATACCTTACATTGTGTGAAGCTTTTCTTACTCATTGCTTTTTTGGTCTTTTAGGTTTTTCGAGACAGGGTTTCTCTGTGTAGCTTTTGGAGCCTGTCCTGAAACTCACTCTGTAGACCAGGCTGGCTCTCGAGCTCACAGAGATCCGCCTGCCTCTGCCTCCTAAGTGCTGGTATTAAAGGCATGCGCCAACACCGCCCAGCTGCTTTCTTGGTTTTAAAGCAATTTTTTTCCCCATCAAATACAAGACCAAACAATTCATAGCAGTCACATTTAATTCTGAGTACAGTGTACATTTAAAATATTTGAGCTGGGTGTGGTGGTGCATGCTTGGAATCCCAGGACCTGGAAAATGGAAGCAGGACCATGAATTTGAAGCCAGCCTAGGTTACATAGTGAGAACCTGTCTTCAAATCACAAATAAAATGATATTTCAGTGAGTTGTGACAATGGATGTAATCCTAGCACTTGAGAGGCAAAGGCAAGCAAATAAGGAGTTCAAAGGCATTCTTTCTCTACTCGATAACAACTCTGAGGCAAGGTTGTGCAGTGGAGCCCCTTTTTTTTAAGCAACCAAAACCTCACTTTTGGGTTTCTTCCTTAGCTTACGAGCTTACTTTTATTCCTGGGAATGTTTTTTCTTTTCTTAGGATTTGTTTGTGTGTTTATATATGCACATGCCCCTATATGCTTGCAGGTGCCCTTGGAGGCCAGAAGAGGGTGTTAGATCACATGGAACTGGATCCAGCAGGTAGTTGTGAGCTGCTCCATGTGGGTCTTGTAAACTGAACTGAGTTCCTTGGGAAAAGCAGCAAGCGCTTTTCACTACTGAGCCATCTCCAGCTCCCCTGTTCTTTCCTTAGTAAGTTGTCTATTTCTATTCCATATTTAACATAGAAGACCAACCTTTCTCCATCTCTCCTTGTGGTAGCTGTGAGAATCATCACCTAACCTGTACGTTTTTTTTCCTTAAACCCTACTTAGTGAAAGTTATCCTTAAGCTTCAAAAACAAGACACCCCCCTCCCCCCCAAAAAAGTTTGATATTGTCAGAGTAGATGGTAGGACAGGAAGGTGACTCGGCCACCGAAGGAATGGCTACCCAAGCATGAGGACCGGAGAGTGGATGCTAGCAAACACGTAAAAAGCCAAGTGTGGCTGAGCTGCCTAGCTCACAAAAACCTCAAGTTCTAGGTTTATCAGAGAGGCCCTGTCTCAAGAGGATAAGGCAGAACAGGATGGAGATGGCCATCAGATGTCTTCCTCTGGCCTCTGCACAGTGTGCTCATACATCCGCACACACTTGCATACAGTGCACAGCTGAAAAGGTTGTTTGGTGTAAAGGTGGAGAGCAACTGAGGGGGACACCTGGCATCAGCCTCTGGCCATACCCAAACACGTGATGCCTGCATAGCAAGTAAGACTAAACAGCTTTATGCTGTTGGTTCATCTTTCATATGAATACAGCCCAGGACTAGATCATTCATTTCCTCTGTGGAATGTCTCCTACACATTTTGTTGGAAAGGAAGAAGGAAAGAATGCTGCTCTGTTTGGCTTCTAATTCTGTTTAGCAACTTCTCACCCGTCTGGCTTTTAATCTGTAGATGTGGTGCCCTGGGTGCTATCCATCTGTTGGACAGGGTGCTGAGTTTTAGCTCTGTGTTCATCATCAGCTACTAATTTGTAGTGATAGAGAATAGTCCATTCCACATCCCCTTCCCTCAGTGAGTGGCATATTACTCAGGCATTGAGAGATACCTGCGCAGAAATTTGGAATGGCCCATCTCTTTGCTGAGCTAATGAAGGATTGTTGTTCTGGGCAAAGCTTCATTTTTTAATTTCTTTATTTTGGGACAGAATCTTATTACTTGCCCCAGACTGGCCTGGTTCTATTTAGCCCATGCGATAAAGGCTCAGAAGTGACTTGGTCATCTGATTAATGTCAGAGGAATCATCCTTATCTACCTGATTTGGCTATAGAGATTGTAGGAAACATTCAAGAAATAATTGCTGAGTCGAGTTAGAAGTAATTTCTTCTGTCCTGTCATTTTCTCAGTGACATTTTGGCAGGTTGTTATATAATCCAAATATTGGAGTTCTCTAAGGAGAACATCTGCAGTTTATCACATTATATTTTAATCTTAGTATCATATTTATTTTATGTACTATCTACCACCAAAACCAAAACCTCCATGACAGAATTAGAACTAGAAAAACAACTTGCTTTTTATCGTCTTTCGTAACTAGTGTCCATTACCCACATTCTGTCCATCCTCATCTCCTTACACTTGGCCTTTCTTGTTCTTTTCTTCACGTAATACTGTACCTATATGGACGTTTGTTTACATGCATACATTTATTATTGGCTAGAAAAGACTTTTCTGGGACTGTATGCACTCAGTATTATATATTTTAGAATAATATTAGGTAAATAAATAGTAATATTTTAGAACAATACCTAGGTCCTTCTATTTTCCTGCAAGTTTTTAAACCTTTTTTTTTAGAGTGGAATAGTATTTCATGCTTTATATATACCAAAGTTTTATTATCTGTTGATGGATAACCAAGTTGGTTCTGGTTAAAAAAAAATTATATCGAATAAAACAGCAATAAACGTGGGGTGCAGATATCCCTGTGGCAGGGTATGGAGTTGTCTGGGTATAACCCAGGAGGGAAATAGCTGAGTCTACAATGACTATATTAATTTGCAGCTCCACCCACAGTGAATAGAGGTTCCTTCCTCTCCGTTTCTCTAACATTTGTTGTCAAGATTTGTTGATGACGATAGCCTTTCTGACTTGTTGAAAACTGTCTCTTCAGTTCATTTGCCCATTTGTTAATTAGTTTTATGGTATTTAATTTCTACAATTCTTTGTAAATTTCTAGATGTTAGTCCTCATCTGAAGTATAGCTGGTAAAGATTTTCTCTTATTCTGTGGGCTGTTAACTCTGATTGTTTCCTTTGCTGTATAGAAACTTGAATTTTCGTGTAGTTCCATGTGTTGTTACTTGGGGTAGTTCTTGTGCTGTTGGTATTCTATTTTAAAAGTTCTTACCTACCCCAATACTTCAATATACATTGAAGGGTATTCTCCCTGTTTTCTTCTAAAAGTTCCTGGGGTGGGTTTGTTTGTTTGTTTTTCCAAGAAAGGGTTTCTTTGTATAGTTCTGACTGTTCTGGAACTCTCTCTATAGACCAGGCTGGCCTCGAACTCACAGAGATCCACTTGCCAATGCCTCCTCGGTGCTGGGATTAAAGGTGTGTGCTACTGTCACCTGGCAAACAGTGATGCCTGAAACAGGGACGTGAATCAGCTTTTAAATTAAGGTCTTGGATATATTTAAATCGATTTTTGTTCAGATGAAAGATGTAAGTCTAGTTTCGTTCTTCTGCAGAAGGAAATCCACTGCTGCTGTCACCATTTGTTTACTAGGCTATTTTTTCTCCAAAGGAAGCTTTTGCCTCCTTTGTCAAAAAGGTAAAATTTGCCATTTTATTTCCAAATGTAGACTAGATAGCAATGATTCTGTAGATGAAGAGAATAAATGAGTGGGAATGTGTTTGTTTGGACAAGGGGGTCTCACTATGTATATCAGGCTGACCTCACACTCACTGGATTGGCCTGCCTCTGCTGGGTGCTGGGATTAATGTGCTATCACGCCTCTTTGATCTGAGATTGTTGTTTTTTTTCTTTCGTTTTTTGTTTTTGTT